TCCAATCTGTTGAGGCTCAGAACAGAACAAAATGGTGGAAGAAGGGAGAGTTCTCCTTCTCTCCTCTTGAGCTGGGACATCAATTTCTCCAACATGGGACACTGGAGTTTCTGGATCTTTGGACTCTGGGATTCACACACCAACATCCCCAGCAGTTCTCAGGCCTTCAGAATTGGACTGTGTCCTGTCACCCGCTTCCTGGTTCGTAAGGTGACAGATGGTGTACAGTGGGATTTTTCAGCCTCTATAATCATGTGAGCCAGTTCCCACAATACATCTCCTGTTAGCTCAATGTTCAATCTGCGCATTGGGGTGGGGAGATGGGGAAGGAAGGAGGTGACATGGGGGCCAAGGGCTACCGAGAGGCAGAGCACTAAATTGGCGCCCCCCACCCCCACCCCCGTTGTGATGATTGATTTTCTGTGTCAACTTGATTGACCCAAATATTCAGTAGAACAGGATTCTGTGTGTTCCTGTGAGTTTTGGGGAGATGAGTTTAACATTTCCATCAGTTGACCCTGCTATATGTGGATGGGCCTCATCCAATCAGGAGAGGCTTGGGATAAACAAAAAGAACTAATCCTTCTCTGAGTAAAGGGATTCCTCCTCCCACTGCCTTTGAGCTGTGCATGGGCCTCTTCCTCCTTGGATTTGAACTTTGGCTCTTGCTGGTCTCTAGCCTGCCAGCTTTTGGAATAGAGCCACTTCACTGGCTCTCTGGGTGGGTCTCCAGCTGGCCAGCTCACTCTGTCCATCTTGAGACTTGCTTATTCCATTGTAATGTGTTTCAGGCTGCTTTCTGTTGCTATAGCAAAACACCTGAGGCTGGGCAATTTACTTCTTTTTTCTTTTTTTTGAACCAGGGATTGAACCCAGGAGCATATGACCACTGAGCCACACCCCCAGCTCTATTGTGTATTTTATTTAGAGACAGGGTCTCACTGAGTTGCTTAGTGCCTCGTTTTTGCTGAGGCTGGCTTTGAACTCACGATCCTCCTGTCTCAGCCTCCTGAGCTGCTGGGATCACAGGCGTGCGCCACGGTGCCCAGCTGGGTAATTTATTCAAAGTAAACTACCTTGTTCATGGTTCTGGAGGCTGGGAAGTCCGAGAACATGGTACTGGCATCAGGAGGGCACTTCTTGCTGCGTCACAACATGGCAGAGGGCATCACTTGGCAAGACAGATCAAGTGTGCCAACTCAGGCTTCTCTTCTTCTTCTTGTAAAGCCACTAATGCCATCACGGGGCCCCTCCCTCGTGACCTCATCTAGCCCGACTCACCTCCAGTTGCCTTTAGTATTGAGCTTTGGGGATTAAATTTCCAATCCATGAACTTCTGGGGAACACGTTCAAATCACAGCCCTGTGCCAGCCGATTCCTGACCAATCTCTGTCTCCGTCTGTACTGACGGCCACCAGCCGTTTCTGTCTCTGAAAGCCCTAATACAGGGTTCCTCCCTTGGATCAGTGGGGGCAGGAGCCGGGTGTTGGGGGTTAAAGGAACGAGAGGAAATGGGGAGGAAGGGACCGAGATGTTGCCTCCAGGGATCCAGAGTGGGAGGAGGTTGTGCCTGTCACAGAGAAGAGGAGGCCAAGTGCTGGGGCTGCCTCCACCCCGAGCCTGAGGACGTGGGCTCTCAGGTTGGCCTAGAGGAGACTGGGAGGCTCAGGGTGCACAATATGGCTGCAGCTCAAGGAGGTGAAGGTGTGAGAGGAGCAGTTCACGGACATCCATGGACAGCCACGGGATTTGCCCCCAGCCTCGTAGAGGTGGCAGGAAAAGAGGGCAGTATTTTTCGTTTGTTGATTTGTTTGCTTTTTGGAACCTGGGATTGAACCCAGGGGTGCTTACCCACTGACCACATCCACATGCCCAGCCCCTTTTTATTTTTTATTTTTTTTATTTTGAGACAGGGTCTCTCTTGGCTGCCTATCAGCCTCGCTAAATTGCTGAGGCTGACTTTGAGCCTGCCATCCTCCTGCCCCAGCCTTCTGGGAGTGTGCCACCACACTTAGCTGGACAGAGGTTTTGGAAAGGAAATCTCTTTCCAGTGGGTGCCAAGGAGCCAGATGCAAGGACTTTTTGCAGTGATGTTTGTGAGGGTGAAAGTGAACCCCAGGGCTGTCCAGCAGGTGGGGAGCAGAGCCATGGAAAGGAGGGCTGGCTTCAGTGGACTATTACGCAGGAGGGGAAAGGACAGACCTCTGTGTCCTCTCTGCTCACTTTCTCAGCACTAGCGAAACATTCTGCTGAGTGCGAAAGAAAGCCGAGTTACGGAACGCGAGCACAGGGTGATAGTCTATATAAATTCTGCACACAGGAGAGCGCTGTCTGTTGGGTAGGGATGCCTCCCTGCGTGGGAAAGCAGATATGGATGATGGGAATGGGGGTCCCATGGGGACTACAGTTATTTCTTTTCTGGGTCCCTGTGGTTTTCAAGCGTGTCTCTTTCCAGGGGCTACAGAGAACAGATCGCGACAGGAGGGCAGCCAGGGAGTCCAGGGGCCAGAGTGGAATGTGACCTCCTTGTTCAGTGCAGCCAGGGGGCCAGGGACCAAGGTGGCCAGCAAGAGCAGAGGGAAGGAGGCCTCAAGGTACTGGGGACCCCGTGGACAAGCTGGTGACGTGTGGCGACGGGCGTCCAGACACAGCCATCCTTGAATCAGGGCCCACGTCGGGTACCACGGGTCCATGGAGGGCAGCAGGGGCCCGGCACTGGGGGTCCAACCCAGGGCCTCGCACATGCTACCAAACTCTCTGCCACTGAGAAGCTCCAGCCCCAGCCCAGGTCTCCTCTTCTAATGATGGTGAAGCAAAATTGATTTTTCTCATCTGGGCATATAGCTGTGGATAGAGAACAGTTCTGTCACTCCCCAAAACTCCCTTGCACTGACCCTCGAGGGTCACATCCTCCCTGCCTGGTCCTTGACAGCTGCCAGTCTGTTCTCGGCCAGGAATGTTCTCTTCCGGGACGGCTGTGCTGTAAAAATAGAATTTCTGTGTGGAATCTTAAGACTGGCTGCTTTTTAAAAATTTTTTATTTTTAGTTGTCTATGGACTCAAGGCCTTTATTTGTTTTTATATGGTGCTAGGATCGAACCCCGTGCCTCACACTATGAAGCGTGTGCTCTTCCACTGAGCCACAGCTCCAGCCCCAAGACTGGCTATTTTTTTTTTTTTTTGGTACTGGGGATTGAACCCAGGGCACTTGACCACTGAGCCCCATCCCCAGCCCTATTTTGTAGTTTATTTAGAGACAGGGTCTCACTGAGTTGCTTTGTGCCTCATCATTGCTGAGGCTGGCTTTGAACTTGTGATCCTCCTGTCTCAGCCTCCTGAGCAGCTGGGATTAAAGGAGTGTGCCACTCACCCCAGCTCCCCAGGCCTTTTTTATTTTAATTTTGAGACAGAGTCTTGCCAAGTTGCTTAGGATCTCACTAAGTTGCTGAGGCTGGCTTGGAGCTCATGATCCCCCTGCATCAGTCTCCCGAGCCGCTGAGATTACAGGTGTGTGCCAACGCGCCCAGCCTAAGATTGTTTTTTAACAAACTGTATTTTTTAGAGCAGTTTCCCAGCAAAATTGAATGGACCACACAGAAAGGTCCTGTATATCCATTTGCACACCAACCTCACCCTTGCCAATGTCCCCTACCAGAGGGGCACGTGTGAACATTCTCTGGCTTTGGGCAAAGGTACGAGGACATGCCCCCACGATTGCAGCATCTTGGAGTGGTGGCATCACGGCCCTAAAACTCGTCTGTGCATTGCCTGCTCATCCCACACTTCCCCAGGTTCCTGGTAACCATCGACCTTATTGTCAACTGGGCTTTGCCTTTTCCAGAATGTTCTATCATTGGAATCGCACAGTTTGCTGCCTTTTCAGATCGGCTTCTTTTAGTGATGAGCATTTAAATTTCCCTGTATGTCTTTTCACAGCTCCGGAGCGCGCCTCTTTTTACAGCTGAGCGATATTCCAGGGTCTAGTGGTCACCGTGTCTGTGCTCCTGCTGAACGGCGTCTCTGCTGCTTCCGAGGGTGGGCAACAAATGAGGCTGCAATGAACACCTGTGGACAGGTTTTTGCACGAACATAGTTCTCAGCTCCTCGGGGTCAACGCCAAGGCACTCCAGCGCTGGGTCATGTGGCGAAGCGTGTTTGGTTTTGTAATCCGTCGGGCTCTTCCCGGTGGCTGTGCCATTTCTCATTCGCGCCAGGGTGCTGTTATCAGCAACAGGGGCTCTAATCCAGGGGGGAAACCAGTTTCTTCCACACCCTGCTTTCTTCCTAAAATATTATATAAAAACATTTTTAAAATATTTTTTAGCTATAGATGGATGCAATATCTTTATTTCATTTATTCATCTTTATGTGGTGCTGAGGATCGAACCCAGTGCCTCACACGTGCTAAGCAAGCGCTCTGCCACTGAGCCACAGCCCAGCCCCATATAAAAACATTTTTATATTGTTAAAAAGAATCTGAAACCATTTCCAATGACAGCATCATGGATTTTTCTGTTTTCTTGCAGCCCTGGGGGGTGGAACCCAGGGCCTGCACTGGGCTGGGCAGGTGCTTGACCACTGAGCTGCACCCCAGCCCTTTCCATCTTATTTTAAGACAGGGCCTCACTAAGTCCTCCTGCCTCAGCCTCCCGAGTGGCTGGGCGCACGCGGAATTTCATCACATCCCTGCACATTGGACTTGACTGGGCACCTCAGGCTTGGTGCCAATTGGCCACTAGAATAATCTCCCACAGGTGTTGTGATGTGTAAATATTTACCCGTTTCTCAAATTTCTTCAGAATGGAGTCTGAAAGGCTGGCTGGAAAAGCCGAGCCCATGGAGGAGCCAGCTACTACCCTGAAAGCACGGAGCTCAGCAAGATTCTGTAAACAAAGTTCCTGTGAATCAGACACCACCGTCTGACTGAGAGGAGCAGTGAGCGTCTTTGAGGGACTGAGGTTGGCCACTCTTTCCTGGTGAACTGGACATGTTGGTTCGCTTGCACATCAGGATTTCTCTGTTGTTGTGTTTGTGTTTCGGGTGCTGGGGATGGGCCCAGGGCGGGGACGTTGGGCCAGTGCGCTCGCCTAGAGCCCCACGCCAGCCCTCCTCGGGTTATCTGTGATTTCTTTGCTTGTGATCTCTTTCATCTCTTGGTTGGAATGTAATTATAAGTTGATTCCTATAAGCTCTTTAAGTTTTTTCCCCTTGGCTGTACTGGGAATTGAAGCCAGTGCCTCACACATGCCAGACAATCACTGAGCTGCATACCCAGACCTCTAAAAAATGTTGTTCTCGGAGACAGGGTCTCGCTAAGTTACCAAGGCTGGCCTCACACTTGCCATCCTCCTGCCTCAGCCTCCCCTGGGGCTGGGAGGACAGGTCAGACCACCACGCCTGGCTACAGTGCACGTGTATCACCCTTCCAGCTCTCCCGGGATCTGAGGCTCAGGAGTGGTTCTTCCGCGGTGGCAATCAGATGTCAGCCGGGGATGCTGTCCTTTGAAGGCCTCATGGTGATTCACTTTGAAGGTGGCTCAGTTGCCTGGCTGCCCAGTTGGTGCGGGTTGTTGTTCATGGACTTATGGATGAATGGATTATCATGGGAGTGGCTTTGGTGTACAAGTGGGCTCTCTCTGCCACGCTCGATCTGTCTTGCCGTGTGGTGCCCTCTGCCAGGTTGTCATGCAGCAGGAAGACCCCCACCAGGTGCCATCATCAGGTTCTTAAGACTTCCCAGCCTCCGGAGCCATGAGCCAGATAAACCTCCGTTCTTTATAAACGACCCCACCTGTGGTATTCAGTTATAGCAACAGAAAGCGGACTAAGGCATATGGTAAGTAACGTAGTCATGGAAACAGCCATCATGAAGGCAGAGTTTCCTATTCAGAGTTCCCCTCAGAGGGCAGGCATGGCCCACTATACAGGGGGTCAGTTGAGGCAGAGAGAACCAAGGGAAAATGTGCTAGAGCTTTTATTGTGCTCTCCATGGGAAAGCCTAATCGTGCAGAGTTAGGTTTAGGATTTGGCAAGTTTGGATAATTTCAGCAGATTCTAGGGCATAGGGCTGTCCCCGGTTGCCTGGTACCTGGCCCTTGAGTAACTAGGACAGAGGAATATTGGCCTGGGGGGTAAGAGCGTCCTGTGCTGTGTCAACTTGGGACGGTTGGTCTTTGGAAAGGCGTGTTCCTGGGCACACCAGCTGTTTACTATCTCTGGAACTTAGCTAACTGTGGGAGGGGCCGTTGCTCAGGATGGCAGCGTCAAGAGGGCAAAACATGAGATAGTATCAGACCTAAGAAGCTTGGCACACAGACCTCTCCTCCCTCTGCCCTCTGCCCACCAGCTTCCTCCCCCGACCCCGCGCACCTGACCCTACTCAGATCCTTGCTCTGCCTGCCTGCCTTCCACGGCAGGGCTCTGTCCCTGGTCCTGTCTGCCTCCCTGGGTCCTGAGCCATCAGGTTCACCCCGGGGACTTCTGGGTCCCTCCTGGAGCCCTGGATCCAGGAGTCCAGCCACCTCCCGATGCCCCGATGTCTGTCATCCCCAGAGCTCATCTCAACCCTGTGCTCTGCCCAGGTGGGGGCTGAGCAGCCTCCCTCTGGGCTCCAAGGCTGTTCCCGTGGCTGAGTCACGCAAAGACATGAGCACACCGCGATTTCTCAGAAATCGGCTCTTTGCCAATCTGGCCCCAAAGAGCACGTGACCTTGAGGGACACAGAGGGGGCTGTGCTGGCCTTCCTCCCCTGCAGCCGGCTGCCCACCGTCTCAGTCCATTTTCTAGGCTATAGCGAGCGCCACGGACTGGGTCCATTATGAGCAGTGGAAGAGCATCTGTGCTCTATTCCGGGAGTCCCTGCGCCTGGCGCCATCATCAGGCCGGGGGCCTTAGCGGTGAGTCCCAAATGGCAGAAGGGCCAGGAAGTGTGCAAGAGACGGAACCGGGCCCCACTTGCCCTGTTTAACAGGACCTGCTACTGCAATCAGCAATCCCAGGACAGAGGTTCCACCTTTTAAGACTGTTAGGCAGTCACCCTGCGCTACCTGGGCGGGGCTGTGGCCGGGAGGCAGGGCACTTGTGGGCAGGCTGGAGGCCCGGAGTCCGTCCCCAGCCCTGGAACAAACAAGCTCCAGAATGAGCTTTGGAGGGAATATTCTAAGCATGGCCCTGGTCAGATCTGATGGGTCTTCCTCCTTCACCTCTCGGAGTCCCTCTTCCTCTGTCCCAGTGCCCGTGTTTCCATTCATCTGCCAAGACGCAGACACCTGACTCTGTCTGCCCCCAGACCCAGCCTCAGCCATTAGCCAGAGGGGATCCTGAAACAGTCACGGAGGGCATCTCCCACCCCCGCCTAGAAGGCCTATTGCCCCGAAGAAAGCTCAACCTGACCCTGGTCTGAGTCTGTCCCCCAGGGCTCCTGGGATGGAGGGGTGGTCCCCAGGATAGGGATGCTGAGAGATGACAGGTTGTTAGGAGTTGGGGGTCCAGTGGCGGTTGTTTAGCTCACTGAGGGCGCTAGAGAGGACCCCATGCTTTGTGGAACTCTGGTTAGCACTCATCAGAGTACTAGTTCTCAATGTCATAAAGAGAGCAGGTCTGGCCCGGGCATGGTGGCACATACCTGCAATCCCAGCAACTTAGGAGGCTGAGGAAGGAGGATCACAAGTTCAAGGCCAACCCCAGCAACTTAGAGGTAGGAAGTAGGCCCAAAATAATTTAGTGAGACCTTGACTCGAAATAAAAAAATAAAAAGGGCTAGGGATGTGGCTCGGTGGTAAAGCACCCCTGGGTTCACCATCCCCAGTACAAAAAAAAAAAAGCCCCGTGATGCACCCAGAGGAGAGCCGATATGGGTACCATGCCCTTGAACCTCCTGAGCTGTGTGCTAAGGAACCCTCTTTTCTTTATAAAGGACTCAGCCTCAGGATCTCATTGTAGTTACAGCAAACATGCCTCTTAGATGGAGCCACAAGCCCTTCCCTGCTAAACTCTGTAGGCCTTTGGGCGGCCGTGAGCATTTCCTGTTGCCTAGACCACAGGCCCCTGGCTTACTCATCACCATGCCAACACATCCTCTGTCTGCCTCAAAGTCACGTCCTCTCTGCTATCAGATTAATAAAGAGCAGATTTTGAGAAGTCATGGTGTGGGTGTGGGTGCGGACATGGCAGGTGTGACCGAGCCGGGGAACAGCCTTGGAGCAGGGCAGTTAGACGAGGCTGTAAAAGTCACCCATCACCTCCCATGCAGCCACCTTATTGGGGGACTCTATCCTGCAGATAAACTTGAGCACACGAGAGAATTCACAGGAAGTGAGTCTGTGCTGCATCTTTGTGATAGCAAAGCCTGAATAGCCATCCGGCACAGCCCAGTTCAGGACAGACAGTGGCACTCTGTGAAATGGGGGTCACGGTGTGGAAGGTGAGTCAAGTTCGGCCAGTAACAGAAGCTCAGGTGCATGGGGTCACTGTCAAGCACCTTGGCCTTATTTGTGATTTTTCTTTTTCCTTCCTTCCTTCCTTCCTTCCTTCTTTCTTTCTCTCTGGTACTGGAGATTGAGCTACTACTTAACCACTGAGCCCCATCCCCAGCCCTATTCTGTATTTTATTTAGAGACAGGGCCTCACTGAGTGGCTAAGTGCCTCACCATTGCTGAGGCTGCCTTTGAACCCGTGATCCTCCTGCCTCAGCCCCCCGGGCCGCTGGCATTACAGGCGTGTGCCCCTGTGCCTGGCCTTGTGATTTTTTCTTCATGTGCATTGAAACACCCATCCCATTTGCCCCTAGGAATTAAGTGCCACGATTCTCCACACTTTCCAGGTGAGGAGAGAACTGGGCAGTGCTGGGGGAGGGGGGCCTAAGGGACCTGCCCACAGTCAAGAGGGAGAAGTGACGCGGCCACTCGTGTTGAAGCTGGCCAGCCCTCGATGCTGATCTCCCGGCTCCGCCACCTCTCTTTGCTGGGGCGCCACCAAAAGATGTCTCAGCGGTTGTTCATTTAAAAAGCAGGAAATGTTTTTGGAAAATGTTAGCATTTAAGGGAAGCCGGGTAAAGAGAAATGGGAACTCGGTGCATTTTTGCAATTTTTTAAACCTAAAATCATTCCAAAGTAAAAGTTTATGAAAAAGAAAAAACACCTCAAAGAGCTATGTGTTCATCTATGTTCATAACAGACGGAAACCATCCCCGTCCATGACAGATGAACGGAAAAACACAACGCGGTCCGTCTGTACAGTCGGATGTTATTCAGTCTTAAAAAGGAAGAAGATGTTGACATGTGACCATGTGGATAAGATTTGAAGACATCAGGCGAAAAGAAACGAGTCACTCACAAGAGAACGGATGCTACATGATTGTCCTCATAGTGGGTCCCCGCCACCGTCCCATCTGTAGTGTGCTATCTATCCCGTAGCAAGACCTAAGAGAACCAACTTACATGGAGACAAGGTTTATTCTGGCTCTGTTTAAGGGGTTTCCATGCTCTATTGATTGGTCTTGTTGTTTGGGGCCTGTGACAAGGCAGCCCATCATGGAAAGAGTGTGTGTTGGGGGCTGGGGACGTGGCTCCAGTGGTAGCGCGCTTGCCTGGCATGTGTGCAGCCCGGGTTCGATCCTCAGCACCACATACAAACAAAGATGTTGTGTCCGCCGAAAACTGAAAAATAAATATTGAAATTCTCTCTCTCTCTCTTAAAAAAAAAAAAAGAATGTGTGTTGGAGCAAAATCACTCAGTTAATGGTCCAGATGAAAAAAGAGAGAAAGAAGAAGAGACTGGGGTCCCACAGTCCCCTTCAAGGGCCGCCCTCAATGACCTAAGACTTCCCACTAGGTCTTTCCTGCTCGAGTCTCCACCGTCTCCCAGTGGGCACCAAGCTGTCACACACACGGGCCTTTGAGGGATATTCAAAGTTCGAATCATAGCACTTAGAATCAGAAAGTGGAAGAGTGGGGGTCAGGGCCTCAGGGAGGGGAAGGGAGTTCATGTTTAATGAGGACAGAGTTTCAGTCTGAAATGACAAGAAAGTTCTGGAGATAGATGGTGGTGATGGGGGCAAGTGCCCTGAACGTGCCTAATGCAGCTGAGGTGCGCGCGCGCACACACACACACACACACACACACACTCACAGAGTTCAAACCTACTTCTGGGGAAACCCAGGTACGACCTTGAACTCCTCACCTCCTCCTGGAAGTCCTGATTTCCCAGAGCACTGGGCACCTCCTCGGGGTCTCTAGAGCCCCACGCTTCCCTCTGCTCACTGTGACGTCCACCCTGGGTCTTTGTTTCCTGCTTTTGCCATGTGTGGGGCCAGCCAAGAGCCAAGTCTATGCTGTCCCCTCTGCCCGTCCCCTGTGGCCTGGCACCACCTGTGCCCCAGCTGGACTGGTGTGAGGTGGGCGCCTCCTGCAGCCCTTTCCCCCCTCTCCCGGGGCCTTCCTCCTGCCCCTCCTGGCTCCGTGTCTCTGGGAGCAGACACCACCCAGGGGAAGGAGCCCTCCCCACCCTGACTGGGACCGAGGAACAGAACCTAGATCATCCACCCTCCCTGCTCCCCCGGCCTGGCTGCAGGGCCTGGCTACTAGACCCTCGGCAGGCACCCAGATCAGATCTCGGTCCTGTCGTCACCTCCTTCCGACTTCCCTGAGGACGGTAAAGCTGGTGCACAGAAAATGAAGCAAAAGTCAAGTCCAGGACCACACCAGGCCTGGAGAGGGGGGCGAGGACTCAGAGCGGGCAGGAACAGTCCTCGAGGTTGGAGAGCCTGGGCAGGCCTGCTGTGAGCCAGGGCAGAGTGGACAGGGCCCGGGGAGGCCGGCTCCCTCTCGTCTTAGCTGATCCCTTCCCGTTCCCTGCCAGCCCTGCCCAGGGGCACCCAGAGCATCCTCCGTGTTGACCAAGGCCAATATCTGCGGCCGTCAGACGAGCGGGATTGGCCAAGGCTTTAGGACTCTTGCCTCCAGGCGGTGGGCGTGGGAGGAGGTGCCAGGCTGTTTCCCCACCACAGACCCACAGACCTGGGTCAGGCCAGCTGGGAACAGAGGGAAGGAAGAAGAAGGCACTGGGTCTTGCCCAAGAAGTGGGATGAGGTGACCAGGTCAGAGGTAGAACCAGGCCCCGGCTGGGAAGGGAGGGGCTTCACCTGGGCCAGAGCCCCCTTTCCAACTGGGTGGTCCTCAGCTCCACCAGGGCAGGTGGAAGAACATCCTGAATGAACCGAACCCACCCCGCACCACCGAGGCGCAGGCCCAGAGGAGTGGTGGACATGGCGGGGCCCGGGGTTGGGGAAAGAGTATCTACCTCCTCGAGGGCCACAGAGGAAACGGTCAACTGTGGCAGCTCAGGAGCTTGACCTTCTCAGGGCCTATGCTGTGCAGGCCCAGTAGCAGTGAATGAGGAGATTAGTATGTACCCACACTTAGGGTCTATGACGTTAAGTTGTTAATGTGATAAAACTACTCTGTGTCTAAATTCCACCATCAAAGGAACAGGAGGACCCCTGCTAGGACACAGGGGCCTTTGTGAAAATTGCAAGAAGGCACCCCCAGGGCCTCATGGCACCCCGAGAGCAGGAGTGCACAGTGCCCACAGGCGTAGCTGTGGAGTCCCAGGTCAGGGCTCAACCCCAGGTCCACTATGTCTGAGCTGGGTAGACTGGGCCTTGCCCAACCTCGGAGCTTCAGAGTTTGCTCCTCAGCAAAACTGTGTCAGCAGGTTCTGTGAGGCTGTTGAATGTGAATATAGATGAGAAGAAATGTAGTGCCTGCCCAGGAAAAGCCCTCCCGAAGATCAACTGTGGATTTAGGATCATCGTCATGTTCTATGATGTCCCACACTTAAACGTAAAGTCGAAGCCCTACGTTGAACATAAAAGGCAGGCGTTGTTATCATCTCTGCTTGCTGCGTGGAAAAGTAAGGCTCAGAGAAGTTAAGTCTGAGAGCCCAGAGCCAGGGAGTGACCGTGCAGCGGACTGATCCAGCCCTTCAACCATGCCAGGCTCAGGGGCTGTCCTTCACATTGACCAGCGCAGCCAGAGGAAAATGGTGCTTGGTCTCTGAGTGGTGCCGGGAACAGCCGAGTCCCCAGGGACAGGTTCTAGCCCACCACTAGGTCCCTTATTCCAACCAGGGGCTCTTGGCTCTTTCTCCTGGTTCCAGGAAAATACTTCCTCATGGGCTACTCCCCATCTGGGGCCAGAGGCTTGGGCTGTTCCTGTGGCCATCAGGCCACTGCATGCAGGTTTCTGTGGATTTGTCACCCGAGTCTGTAGAGCTGGCATCACAGCCCAGGCTGCAAGGCAAACAGGCAGCATGTATCCAAAAGCTGAGTGAGTAGCCTTGGACCCAGACATTCTGTTGCTAGGATTTAATTTTAAGAAAAGAGTTAAAGGGGCTGGGGTTGTGGCTCAGCGGTAGAGCACTCACCTAGCAGGTGCGCACCCTAGGTTGGATCCTCAGGACCACATAAAAAATAAATAAAGTATTGTGTCCAACCACAACTAAAAAATAAATATTGAAAAAAATGAAAGAAAATAGTTAAAGACTTAGGCACAGTTTTAGCCACAATTTTTTTTTTTTTTTTGGCACTAGATATTTTACCCAGGGGCACTTAACCACTGAGCCACATTCCCTGCTGTTTTTATATTTCTTATTTAGAGATAGGGTCTCACTGAGTTGCTTAGGGCCTCTCTAGGTTACTGAGGTTGGCTTTGAACTTGCAATCCTCCTGCCTCAGCCTCCTGAGCTGCTTGGATTACCGGTATGCACCACTGAACTCAGTTTAGCCTACAGTTTTATGTAAGTGTGTGTGTGTGATACATATATGTGTGTGTGTATATATATGGGGGGTACTATATACACATGGAGTAACAGATATAAAATCAGTTTTTAGTTTAGGGAGGCTTAATCTGTGTGAATATGTGCTCAGTAGATTGAACATCCCTAATCTACTGTGTGTGTGTGTGTTGCTGGGGATTGAACCCAGGAGTGCTCTCCCACTGAGCTACATCCCCAGTCCTTTTTGTTTTGAATTGCCTTGGCTGACCTTGAATTTGCGATTCTTCTGCTGCCTCCCTTGCAGCTGGGATTACAGGCCTGTGCTACTGTGCCTGGTCCTAAACTATGTGTATTCTGGTGGGCGTGGGGGACGTTTTTTCTTCTTCGTGCAAAAAGTACGGGAACATTCCTGTGATTACAAATGACCTTTGGCCCCTGGGGCATGTTCTGTAATCCTCTAGATAAACACTTTTATTTTTACGCAAGTTAAACATTATTCTCTCTTTAATTAGAGAACATTTCTGGAAGGCCACGTGTAACATGTAACCAAAGTATTAGCAAGTCCTGGACTCACACCTGATGTTATTTGAAGCCCACCAGTATTCCAGGTTCCGAAAAACTAAAGTAAAGGTTACTGATTAGGAGGTCTCCAAACCATTTTTTTTTCTTTATCTTTCTTCCTGGAAATTTCGACTCTATTAATTAATATCACAGCCACTTAAAGGAGCTTTTCTCTCAGAAGTTACAATGCTGGGTAAAGGGGAAAAAAACAAAGAGTGATTTTACAAGGGGCAATTTTACAAAGTCAAGCTAATCTGGAATGGGTGGTGTAAAACAAAAGGCGGAGTCGTTGCTGCTGTTACAGATCTACATTTATAGATGGGGGGAAAATATTTGCCACTATCGAACAAAGACAGGTGGCTGGAAAAAGAACCGACTAGAGATAAGGCAAGGTAGTGAGCGATGGGAACTACAGGACCTGGAGGATAAACCCAGCTATGCCCAAGTGGAAGTTTCCAGAAGGAACCGGAGTGTTCCAGCTCCACAAGGCTGAGTCCTCCTCAGATCTGCTCAGCAGGATATTGCCAGGACCCAGCATGGTGTTTTTCACTTGGTAGATGCTCAATAAACAGCTGTTGAAGGAGTTGAGTTAATTGGAGTATTGACTATTTCAAGCTGAAGTCACTTGAGCAAGGTGACAGCAGGCGGGGCGTCTGACTCTTTGAAAACACAGCAAGCCATAAAGCTTCTTGGGGGAGGGATGTCTCTCACATAGCAAGCCTGGAAACAGCCTTGACTACTGGAGATTGGTTATAACTGAGTGGTAATGAACTTGAGTGAATAACCCTTATCTTCCAATAGCTTCTGTACAGCGCTTTGTAACACACCTTGAATTTACTACCCTTGTTCAGAGATCCATCTGTGCTGTCGCCCCTTTCCAAGATGATTATTTGTCTAAAAAGTATAAGAGCATCGTGCTCTGGCGATTTCTTCAGATCTCGCTGTCTTGTGAAGGTTCCTATGTGCATGTAAGATTAGTAAAACCGTCACTTTTGTCTATCAGATTTTTTTCTGCCCCCTGAACTGGGGACTGAACCCATTGATCTACATCCCCAGCCTTTCTTATCTTCTATTTTGAGATAAAGCCTTGCTAAGTTGCCAGACTGGCCTTGAACTTGTGGTCCTCCCGCCTGGGGGGAGGTGGGAGGACAGGCGTGCACCACTGCACCTGGCCTTTAGCAGTAGCTCTTTTATTAACTGGGTCCCTAGATGCGGTCAGACACCCTGAAGAGCGCTGGAGGGCCTCTTCCTCCTTCCCCTGCCTTGTGGAGGAGAGCCGGGACTTGAACAAAAGATGGGCAGGGACTTCCTAATGGGTTGGAAGTTGGGTCTCTGGGAACACTAG